AAACACAGTCAGGTCCAACAGGATCCCTCCCTCAAACCCTTGAAACATGGAAGAGGCAACCAGTAGCAATTTCACACTAGGCTTGACTGACACTGATATTGTATCAGTAGGAGCTTACATTCTCAGTCAAAGTCACGTTGAATTAAACCAAGCCTTTGAAAAATTAGGATCATTTCTGAAAATGAAAGAGACTGCATTACCTAGGATGTGGGGAACAGCATTAGCCAAGTGCACAGCAAAGTGGGGGAAAACTTCTCAATAGGAACGAAAGGCTAAATTATGGGGGATCATAACTGCCATCATGAGAAGCTCACACATGATGTAATGATTTGAATTAAGAAATAATATGATCAAAGAGGGATTGGAGAAACAAATCAGCCAGTTGGTGGTCATCAGAGAGCTCGGGGCTAGAGAAGCCAGTAGGGGGCTGTGGCCATAATCCAAACTGACATCCTTCTAGAAAGTGGGTTTTTAAATGGCAGCTAAAGGAAGAGAGAAAGGGGGTCTAGGTGAGAATAGCATTTTGATAAATAGATCATTAGGACTTAGACAGCTTGGTGCTAGGTAAAGGCAAAGGAGAAATATGGAGAAAGAGATACTTTTATTTTTGAGATCTACAGAAAGGGCTCTGGAGTTAGACTTAGGGTATGAATCCTGTCTGTCATTAGCCCCTTACAGCAATGTAAACATGAAAACATGAATCCCTCTGTCCTCACTAGCAAAATGTGGGTGATGCCAGTGTCTTTATTCATGGGATGAGTACATAAATTGGAACATGTAAAGCCCCTTTGAAGCATGAAAGTTTGCCTATTGTATATACTTTAGAATTTGCTTCAACAGAGTTGAGCTAGAGATAAACTCTCACCTTTGTGTGTCAGGAAATAGGATTTGATCTCACTTTGGAAGATAATTTTTTCTACATATGGAACTTTGGACAACTTCTGTCTGGCACCACTGAAGATCCTGCTGTTGGGTATGCAGTTGAGGAATGGGCCCTCAGTCTAATAACTATTCATTGTAGGTGATCTTTACTTCTGTTTTTTAGGGGTTTTCCTTCCTCCCTCAGGTGTTATCTGTGCCGTATCTTCAGATGAGCTTTCTATGTATCCTGCTTAGGGCTCATTGAACTTCCTGGATGTAAGAATTGTTATCCTTCAGTAATTCTGAGAAATGCCCAGGCAGCATCTTTTCCTCATTATTTATTTCTATCCAGAATTCTAATTATCTTCCCCAGGGGGTCTTCATTTTTCTTTTTATGTTTTCAACTCCTTTGTTTCCAAGACCACGTCGCGTTCATTTTTGGGGACTGGTTCAGTTTATCTGTTGTGCAGCGTAACGGCCATTGTAACTGCCATTTAAGTTACTGCATTTAATTTCTAGAAGTTCTCTTATTCTTCAAATGATACCTCATAGCTCATTCCTTACATATGCCGTCATCTCCCTTGCTTTACAGCATATTACACAAAGAGATTTTGTATTCTGTGATCATTTCAGTATCTATGAGAATGTTACTCTGCTGCCTGGTGTGTTTTTGTTTTGTTTTGTTTTGTTTTGGTGATTCTCATTCATGCTGCTCTACCTCCGTGTGTAGTTTGTGGTTTTATATTTACTTCATTACCATGGAATGCTTGCTTTGCCCATGGGAATGAGTTCAGACCTGAGTCAGTGACACATTCATACTCAGAGCATCCACAGAGCTGCCGCCAGCTCTCCGGAACCATTGCTGAGAACCGTTTTACATTAAACACTCTGCTTGGCATGTCTCAAACCACACTGAGGAATCAGTTGTAGACTACAATCCGTGTGAGGGCCCACTTAGATGTAAAAATAATCAGAGGGATGAGGTAGGCAAATGTTCCTGCTGCCTCCTTTGGCACATCAGACTTATTTTTAATTCCTTGAGGGTGGAGTCCTTTAAAATATCCCAGCTTTATGTACGGTCCTCCTTGTAGCTTCTCACACTGAATCAGACATTCAACATGTCCAGAATTGGGAGCCAGTCGTCTCCTGGTGCCCCACACTTCCCAAGGCTCCAGCTGCTCCGGCTTCTACAATGGGAGTGAAATGGTCCTTGTGCTATGGCAACTCATTTCAAAGCACTTGCGATATTTCTAATATTTTAGTTTCCAGCTAGAAATGGAAGTCTTTTTTTTTAAATTTTATTGAGTTTATTGGTACATTTAGGGATACAGTACAGTTACATTCATTGTTGGGATCATGTACCTCTACATGGCAAGTCTTGATTGTCATTTTTTCCCCTTACCTCTGCCCTCCCTTCACCCCCTCCTCCCCTCCCCATCTACAAACACTTTATTTTCATCTTTTCATTCTCTCACATTTTTTTCTTTTCCCTTTTTGTTCTTCCCCTACGCATCACACCTTCCCTACACCTTTAGCTCCTTTCCTCCCATTTCTAAATGTCAGTAATCTTATTAGAATCTTATGCATTGTTGCAGAATATTCACACCAGGGAAACTATTTGGTATTTACACATGTGGGACTTATTTATTTCACTTAGGAGTATATCTTCAATATGTATCCATTTTCCTATGAATGAATCTATTCTCTCGCTCTTTATGGCTGAGTAATATTCCATTTTATAGAAAAACCACAACTTCTTTATCCAGTTTCCAACGGATGGGCAAATAGGTTGTTTCCAAGATTTAGCTATTACAAACTGTGCCGCTATAAACATGGGTGCACATACTTCTCTGTGATATGATTCTTTTAGTTCTCTTGGAAAGATACCCAACAGAGGGATGGCTGGGTCAAATGGAACCTCCAGTCCAAGCTCTTTGAGGTATCTCCATATTGATTTCCATAGTGGTTGCACTAGTCTGCACTCCCACCAACAATGGAGGAGGGTTCCTTTCTCCCCACAACCCCGCCAACATTTGTTATTGTGTGATTTCTTGATAGCAGCCATTCTTTGTGGGGTGAGGTGGAATCTCAGTGTTGTTTTCATCTGCATCTCTCGAATGACCAGTGATGTGGAACATTTTTTCATATATTTTCTTGCTGCTTTCACTTCTTTGTATGAGAAATGTCTGTTCATTTCGGATGCCCATTTTTGGATCGGGTCTTTATATTTGGGGGGACTGATTGTTTTGAGTTCTTTATATATCCTTGATAATAGTCCTTTGTCTGAGGTACAGCTGGTAAAAATTTTTTCCCACATTGTAGATTGTCTCTTAGTTCTGCTAATGGTTTCTTTTGAAGTACAGAAGCTTTTTAGTAAGATGAGATCCCAGTTGTTGATTCTTTCTGCTAGTTCCCGTGCTACTGAGGATTTGTTCATAAAGTCTTTTCCTATACCAATGTCTTCCAGAGTTCTGCCTAACTTACTTTCCAGCAAGTTTAATGTTTCTGTTTTAATATTTAGATCTTTAATCCATTTGGATTTTAATTTAGTGCATGGCGAAAGATAAGGGTCTAATTTTAATCTGTGGCAGGTTGATATCCAGTTTTTCCAACACCATTTATTAAAGAGGCTATCTTTCCTCCACTGAGGATGGTGAGCTCCTTTGTCAAAGATGAGGTAGCTGAGTACATCTGCATTTGTTTTTGTGTCTTCCAGTCTGTTCCACTGATCCTCAGGCCTATTTCTTTGCCAGTACCATGCTGTTTTTATCACAGTGGCTTTGTAGTATAGTTTCAAATTGGGAATTGTTACACCTGGTGCCATGTGACTGTTGCCTATAATGGCTTTTGCTATTCTAGGTCTCTTGTGGTTCCAAATGAATTTTTGGATTCTTTTTTCTAGTTCTGTGAAATATAGTGTTGGAATTTCAATTGGCATTGCATTGAATGTATATAGCAGTTTTGGTAGTATGTCCATTTTCACTATGTTGATTCTTCCTACCCAGGAGCAGGGGACATCTTTCCATTTTTTTGTATCCTCTTCGATTTCTTTTTTCAGAGTGCTGTAGTTTTCAGTGTAGAGATCTTTTGTTTCTTAGAAATGGAAGTCTTTATATAATTACTAAGACTTAACTGAGCATCTGTGTAGATTATATAGCTGCTCGTAATCACATTTGTAGAATTTCAGACATATAGGCCTTCCATAACTTTATTCTAGTTGCATCTGGTGAAACCTTGATATCTGCTATATACTTTAATTTTGCAACTATTCTGTAGGAATAAGTGGCATACTTTTTGACGCTTGTCTTTTTTAAAATCTTATTGAGTTTATTGGTGCTTTTTAGGTATACAGTACAGTTCCATTCATGATTGGGATCTTGTACCCCTACATGTCAGATCTTCATTCTCATTTTTCCCCATACCCCTGTCCTCCCTTCACCCCCTCCACTCTCCCCTATTTACAAAGACTTTGTTTCCATTTTTTCTTCTTCTCATATTTTTTCTTTCCCCTTATTTCCTTTCCCCTACCCTTCCCACTTCCCCTACACCTTTAGCCCTTTCCTTCCTATTTCACATTATCAATTATACAATTTGGATCTTACTTACACTTTTTGTCTTTTAAAACTAAAAATAAACCTATTAGCCATTAATATGGACGTAAATATAATCTATTACCTTATTTTAAATTCTTCATTGCATTGCATAGAATTAAAGAATTTTTCAAAACCTCTCAGATTAATAAGGTCGCAGAAAACAAAGACTCGGTTATATCTGCATCCAGTTTAAAGGAATTATTTATACTAAAATATTAGAAAAATTTGAACTGTTACACAAGTATAAAAAAATGGTAAAATGCAAATGTATATCTTTTTAAACAAAGAATTTCTTACAGGAAAATTGTGCTTAAAGTATTACTAGAAAATCAAATCATTTTCAAGCTTGTAATAATTCACCAATTCTAGAAACCTTTCAAAAATGCTCAATGTCTTTTCTCGTGAATGCTCTTTGGTAAAGAAAATGCTCGCCCCCCCCCCTGAAAACGCTGGCCTCACATGAGTCGTTTCCACCGAGGAGCGACACTGTAATTGTGGCCAGGGAAGACTTGCAGCCTCCCTCACTGACAGCCTCACTTCTTCCAGTATGTGCGAGTATCTTTTGATACGAAACCGGACCTCCTCCTCCGCCTGATGACCAAGGAGTGGCAGTTGGAGCTCCCCAAGCTTCTCATCTCTGTCCACGGCGGCCTGCAGAACTTTGAGCTCCAGCCCAAACTCAAGCAAGTCTTTGGGAAAGGGCTCATCAAGGCAGCAATGACCACGGGAGCATGGATCTTCACAGGAGGGGTGAACACAGGTAAC